TGTAAACGCCAGATTTTCGTTCAGTTCATCTGCACAGATCTGGCTTGCGCAAGCCAAATCGTTCAGATGGCTTGAGCGTGTAAACGGTCCTTTATTTCTAATTTTGTAACCAGTCTAATTTTTGTACTCAATAAACGTTTTTTTTACAAATTCTCCGTCTTCAAAATTATAATTGGCGCTGCGAACAGGATAGTGTCGCGATATTAGTTCGAATTTTAATTCGTTAAGACGCTATTCGACGGGTCTTTATTGATGCTACTCCCGGCAATCATTGATCCAGTAATTTGAAGACAACTCCTTAGACGAAACGTTGAGAGTGTGCAGAATTTGGTCAAGAAAAGCTAACGACCTCCCCAGACAGCAAGTACTTGATTCCTACCTGACGAGAGACGTATTTGGTACTACCAGTGCAAAACAGCGAAATCTTTATGGGTACTCCCTTGATCCTGTATTTGTAAGTAACAACCAAAATTGCCTTATATCAGAATCTAAAAAACGTTTACAAGATCGGTTCAGAATTAACAGTTCACAACTTGGATTACATCCTTACGCATCTAGCTTAGATAATATTACAGAATTTGCTGGAAGGCATTTCATTAGATAATAATTCTTCTATAAATAATTCGCTTTCTGAATTACCTGAAAATACTGCCAATATTCAAACTTTGGAAATTGTTAATAGTTCTAGATCAAACATAATGAACGTAGAATCGTTTGCCAAATTACTACCTACATTTGAAGGAAATCCAGACCACCTGGTACATTTTATTAATGTTATAGAAGATTTTCATACAACCTTTTTTAATACATCCGTGACTCAACAAAAATACGTTATATTTTCAATTAAATCAAAGCTAAAAGGCGACGCCTATGATTTACTTTATTGTCGATCCGATATTCAAACCTGGGACGATTTAAAAACCGCGTTAAGACAAAAGTTTGGCGATCCAATCAGCTTTTTAGTACTGTTGCATGAATTAAACTATTTTAATAGAAATAAGAACGAATCACTTATGGATTTCATTGTTCGATTAAAACAATTTGTACAAAGAATTTATGCAAGGATTAACTCGGAAGAAACCGATGAAAACGTGAGAATTGCATTTCAATCACCTTGATTAGCAACTCCTGTGATTTAGTTAAATCATATTTACTCACCACTAACCCTACTACTATAGACCAAGCCGTAGCATGTATAAGGAATTATAACCTGGTAGACTCGCAAATTAGAATGCGTAACTCTCTAAATAAGTACAATAACTTTCACAAACCACTGCAAAATACTAATTTAGGAAGAAATAATCAACTCCCTAGACCATCATTACCTTCCAATTTCAATCAAATCTCTTATAGAAACCCTACTTTTCATCCAACCTTCCCAAGTCAGCCCGTTAATATACAAACGCGTCCTATTCAACACAGATTCCCCACGAATATCCAGGCATTTAAACAACCACCTCAGAGGAACGTGTTTGCTCCTCAACGGCAGACACAATTAACATTCCCGAAGGCTACACCTATGTCAAATGTAAATGTTCCAATTCCTCAGAATTACGATCACAATTTTAAAACGACATCCAACTCAGATGTGTCTATGAGAACCTATAGATCCCAAAATCATTTTCCAAAATTTAACCATTTTCAAAATACTGCTCCAACACGACCCCGATACACTTTTCAGGAATTAACAAATTTGGAGACCGAAAAGTCCACTAATTCCTCTGAAGAGCCATTTCTACAAGATTTTAGCGAATCTTATCAAGACGATTATGATTTTACAAATGATACCAATTTCCTTTCCTTACCTGACCAATCAAGCTACGAAGTTGAAACTGCACCAAACCCTGAAAATTTTCCCGAAGCTGCCACTCCGCTAGAATTGACTTAAATAATATAATGAGACAGCCGGAACTCCCCTATATCTACCTACCTAAATCTAACCTAATCATACTTATTGATTGAGGTGCAAGTGACTCGATAATTAATCCTTCAATTGCCCAAAACTTCCCAGCCAACCTTTTTTATGAACCCTTTGAGATTAAAGCTTGCCAACAAATCTTTTACGAAAATAAGAATCTAGACTACCCCATTCTTCGAGAGCTAGGTATTAATAATAATATAATGTTTCGCGTTGTTAATTGGCACGATAAGTTCGATGCACTTATAGGCACGAAAGATCTTCAATCCATGGGTGCTGTAATTGACTACAATAATTGTACTCTAAAGCTAAAAAATAACATTATTCCATTCTAGTTAGCCTGCAATAAACCAATCAAACAAAACACAACAAATAACAATATTTTAAATATTCCCGTAACACTTAGCAAAGGCATAGCTCTTTTACCTTCATTTCAAATTAACAATACTTATACTGTTCCTGACTCTCTAGTCAATGTAAAAAATGGCATGTGTTCTATCCCTAACCCGATTCCTAATGTCCAAATCAATCTTAATGAAAGAATAAATGTGATTCCAGAAAGTGCTTTCGATATCTTAAACAAACCTCAACAGAGTTCTTCCTTAAAACTTGATTCGCAACTTCGATTAGATCACTTGAACGATTTAGAAAAGACAAAGATTCGAAACCTATGCCATCAATTCAAGGACATTATGCACCAAGAAAATTGCAAATTATCCTTGACTACACAGACTAAACACAAAATCAGGAATACCAATGCCCGCCCTATATATACAAAATCCTTTCGACATCCCCCTTCTATGCAAATGGAAATTCAAAACCAAATCCAAAAATTACTAGACGACAACATAATCAGACCTTCAATATGCCCCTATTCCGCTCCGGTTTGGATTGTCCCCAAAAAAACCGATGCCTCTGGTCAAAAAAAATATCGTATGCTAATTGACTACAGAAACTTAAATGAACATACTGTAGGGGAAAAATACCCTTTGCCTAGAAAAGACGAAATTCTCGATAACTTGGGAAAATGCTCTTATTTTACAACTTTAGATCTCGCCCAAGGATTTCATCAAATAGGCATGGACCCTGATTCTATCGAAAAAACGGCCTTTTCCGTCAATAATGGTCACTTCGAATATCTTAGGATGCCATTTGGACTAAAAAACGCTCCTGCCACTTTTCAGCGGATGATGGACGAAGTCCTAAGAGAGTAGTTGTATAAATTCGGTTTTGTCTACATGGACGATGTTGTAATTTTTCCAAAATTCATATTAAAGTAATATTTAAAAAATTTAGAGAAGTTAACCTAAAAGTTCAACTTGATAAATTAGAGTTTCTCTCCAAAGAAATCGCATTTTTAGGCCATATTATCACTCCGGAAGGTATGAAGCCAAATCCTTCTAAAATTTCCGCTATCCAAAGTTATCCCTTGCCTAAAACTCAAAAATAAATTAAAGCATTCTTAGGCCTTGTAGGATACTACAGGAGGTTTATTAAAAACTTTTCTAAAATAGTATTCCCTATGACCAAATGTTTGCATAAAGGAAGTATAATTAAACTAGACTCAGAAGATTATATTGAAGCCTTTAAAAAATGTAAGGAAATTATTTCTAATTCACCCATTCTTGCTTATCCCGATTTTTCAAAGCAGTTCAAACTAACTACTGATGCTTCTAATCAAGCAATTGGTAGTGTTTTGTCGCAAAACGACCATCCTATTGCATTTTATTCTCGCACATTAAATTCTGCCGAAAAAAACTACTCGACGATCGAAAAAGAACTTCTTGCAATCTTAGAATCCACTAAACATTTTAGACCATATATATATGGTAGGAAATTCTTAATCGATACCGACCATAACCCCTTAGTGTGGTTTTCTAAAATTAAAGAACCTAATTCCCGATTAATAAGGTGGAGGCTTAAACTCGAAGAGTTCGACTTTGAAATGAGATATAAAAAGGGGAAAGAAAACGTAGTCCCAGACGCGCTTTCTCGAATGTCAACGAAATGAAGATGTCAACGAAATGAAGTTCATGTCAACAAAATAGCTTCGATTGTTCCGAACGCTCCCGAGGAAACAGCCAACCTCCAAGATTTTAACGATATACATGACAATACCTCCGAAGCATCCCTACATTCTAACCGAAATCCCGACGGAAAACGTCTTCCCATTTCCGAGCTACCCGTTAATTACGCTTCTCATCGACTTATTCTAAGATACGGAGATTCATATAATCAATATAATACAAGACCTTTTAATAAAATCCACACTTTAGTTAGAATTTCCCGAAATAATGAAGAAAAATATTTAATTAAAGTAATTAAAGAATTATTGCACGAAAATAATTTGACCACACTGTATATCAAAGAAAAACAGCTCGAGACTATGTTTAAGGAATTAATTCAAACTCATTTAAATCACAGTACCAAACTGTGCATTTCATATAAATACCTGCAAGATATTACCGATTCTCAAATACAACAACAAATAATTAAAAATTATTATCATAAATACCATAATGGTATAACCGAAACTTATAACCATCTTAAAGACATTTATTACTGGCCAAAACTAAGAGATAGCATAACCCATTTCATTAATAAATGTGAATTATGTTTACTAAATAAGTATGAGCGGAACCCCTATAAAATTCCATACGACGGCCCACTTCTTGCTGAAAAACCATTTAAAACAATACATATCGACATTTTTCAATTTTCTCAAACTCTATTTTTGACAATTTTGGACTCTTTTAGTAAATATGCACAAGCCTACTACGTCAAAGATAAAAATGCTGTAACCACTCTCAATAAGTTACGTCATTTTATCTCGCATCATAGTACACCTCAAAGAATTTTTGCAGATAATGGATCTGAATTCAAAAACAATCTTTTTAAGGAATTTTGTCAATTGCATAATATAGAGCTCCACTTCACGACACCTAATAATTCCACTTCTAATAGTCCGGTAGAAAGGCTACATTCGACCTTAATCGAAAAACTAAAAATCTTAAGAGAAAAGGACCCCAAAGAAACCTTAGACAATCTTATGATATCTGCTATTTTAATTTACAATCAAAATATACATTCAACCACAGGTTTTTCTCCTTTCAATTTGCTCTATGGACCTTACTACAATGAACCAAACATAAACAATGACTTATCAATTTTCGAAAAATACAACGAAAAACGAAAGCCATAATTAATACCCCTTCATGAAAAAGTATATAAAACTACCTATGAAAAACAAAAACACAGGAATGAACAACAAAGTAAAACAGAACGATATTTACCAAGTATTTCCAAACATCAAATTATTTATAAAAAAAATGACCGCCGAAACAAGGCTTCACCCGCCTATATTCCTATTAAAGTAATTAATATGGAACGAAATGTGATAGATGGAAAATTAAAAACAAACGAAACATCAAAAGTCCATCTTAGAAAAATTAAAAGAATAAGAAAAAATCCTTCCTTGCAGGCTCACAGTGCTGCCGTTTCAAGTTCTGCTCCTGCAGGTAGTTCCCATCCCTAACAATGGATACTTCCTGGAAAATATTAACAACAACACCTTAGTTTTAGAAACATATCATACTACCTATATTTCATTTAATTTAAGTATTATTCAGACTACATTAACCCATTTACTCACTAATCAATTAATCCTAGAAAATGAACTCATAGAATCTTTTGAAAATAATTATCATCTGAAGCTTCAATTAAACCATTCTTATATTCAATTAAATAATGTATTTGATAATTTTCACAAATTAACTCAAAGCGAATTAAGTCTAAGGCAACGTAGAGGGTTGATTAATTATTTAGAATCCACAATAAAATTTATTACAGGCAACTTAGATCAAAATGACTTGGATAATGTTAACAAACATTTTGAAGTAATAAAGCTAAATCAAATTAAATCAATTAAATTCATTTGCTGGTTACGTTACGGAAAAAATTTCAGAAAGATATTTTATCTATTTTTAATGATTCCCAAACATTGAGTAAGGCAGTAAATAAACTTTCCAATCTTATAGATTTAAATATGCAAGTTCAAAGTCACTCTACAAATATTACTAATAGATACTTATGTAAATAAACTCTTAAATACAATAACATTTGCTTTAACTAATGTTCTAGATATCAGTCTATTCAGCTTAAATGATTTTAAACAAATTTGGACTTTCTTAAAAACCCATTACTCTAATCAGCAAATATGGCCTTTGGATCGTATTTATGAACTTATTTCAATTTTGTCAAGCTGGACTTATTCAAACAGACAAGGAAGCAATCTTGGTTGTTAAAATTCCATTATTTACCAAAACCCTGTGTAAATTGCAAATTATATATCCTGTACCCACAAAAGAACACTTGATTTTGATACCACCTAGTGAATATTATTGTAATGACTTATGCTTTCAAAAGTGTATCAGCGTTAATAATAAATGGTTATGCAGAAATCAAATTTATAATGCAAATAATATTAATAACCATAAAGTTGCTAAGGTTGTAAATAATTATGATATTGCTCTTTTCACTCGAAACAAACATTTGTTATATTGTACTAATGTATCTTCGGAAATAATTGAAAATTGTAACGACATAACCAAACAGCTAGTAAGAAATTGTAATTTAATATTAAGTAAATGTGAAATCATCAATGGAACACAAAAATTTTCCAACATAATTTTCAATATTAGCATCAGTCAGGAGAAACTAGATTTTCATCCTTTCGCTAAAAAAACTATTCATTTAAGGTTGGATCACTTAACAAATCCAATAGAAATGCAAAAGGATTTGATGGATTCTCTACAATATTCCAATCTTCCAACGAACCATGATGTTTTACAATATTCCTTAACTGGCATTGTCGTTTGTATAATTGTTTTAGTCATAGCCGCCCACATAGTTGTTTACAGAAAGACCATTAGGGACCATCCGTCTCCAAACGAATCCTCCAAAAAAATAATCAACGAGGACGTTGAGATTTCTTAAGGAGGTTGGAGTTATAGGCCCAATACGACCCTGGCTATACAAGGAACCTTTGACCAGGATGTCACCAAATCATTGCGTTATCTTAATCGACATTAGATAAATAAGAGTACCCAGAATGTCAACACATCATTATGAGATCTTATCGACATTAGATTATAAGAGTTAACTTGTCTAGATTTATTCACTTTTAGAGTCAGTCTTATTTCTAACTTTGTAGTAGTAACCAGTCTAATTTTTGTACTCAATAAACGTTTTTTTTRCAAATTTTCCGTCTTCAAAATTATAATTCGCTCGGCTATCCTATATGCTACGTTAACAGTTTTTGGAAATCGTGGTTCGGCTTATCAGTGGAATGGTAACATCGATATATTTAATGACTCAAACTAATATTTAACACGTATTTTGAATGGTGGTCGGTTGTCGGCACGGCGACATGTGTTCGACTATATCTAATGTTCGACTATAAGTTTCGACTCTTTTTGGTTCTTTTTAATTTATCGCTCCAGGGTAGGCACACTTTGCTAGTGCCTAGGGTGCACACTAGGGGATCGGTCACTGTGGTTCAATCGTGCAAACGGAATATCCGCAAATGCCGTTTGGGTTGAAAAACGCACCCTCAACTTTCCAAAAAGTCATGGACCAAGTTTTGAAGGACCTACAAAACAAGATTTAGATGGTGTACATGGACGACGTCATTATTTTTAGTGCAGGACTACAAGAACATATTCAAAACATAAAAACGACAAAATTAAAATCAAAGAAGTTGAGTTCTTAGGGCACATAGTAACACCAGAAGGCATTAAACCGAATCCAAAGAGAATCGCAGCAATACGAAAAGTTTCTATTCCAACAACGCCAAAGTAAATAATTTCTTGGACTTTTGGGCTACTATAAACGTTTCATCAAAAACTTTGTTAAATTAACTTCACCATTGAACCATTGACAACATGTCTCAAGCAGAACGAGAAGGTAATACACTCCAAAGAAATTGTAAATTATTTTAAAACCTGCAAAGATATACTAACATCTGAACCCGTAATATCGTATTCGGACTTTTTAAAACCGTTTGAACTAACAACGGACGCATCAGATTTTGCAATAGGTGCAATCTTATCCCAAAATAACCATCCCACATGCTTCGCTTCAAGGACATTAAACCCAGCTGAGATTAATTACTCTACTATTGAAAAAGAGCTGCTACAATTGTTTGGAGTTGCAAATATTTTCGACCATATACAGGGTGAGTTTTTTTCGATGACTAGTACAGGGATCTTTGCAACTAGAGCAGTTACGAAGAAGGTCAAATGGACAAAAAATTATAGTTTTGAATGTTCTACTCGAACCTAATTTTATCTTTCTGAAATTTGACAGCTGTCAAAAGATACTTGAGAAAAACTTATTGCGGTAAATTTTTAAATTACGCATAGTATGACATACAGCATTGTTTCCATAGTAACAAATATTAACAGAGTGCTTCAGTATTTATTGTGTCAACTACGTTAAAGTTGACAATAACTTTATTGTATATACTTTCCTGACTGTGTTCCAATTCCAAATCAAAATTAATTCTTGGGTTTCAGTCATTTATTGCCTCGATTTATCAATTAAAATACGTTTCGGTGTATTTTGCCACCATCATCAGTTTTTATGTGTAGCGTTGTTGCTGCTTTAAGCCTTGGCATACATTTTAACAATAAATAGAGACAAAATTTACAATAAATTTACAATAAATAGAGACTGAAACCCAGGAATTAATTTTGATTTGGAATAACTTTATTTTAATTAAGACGGTTACTCATTTAAACTCTTTATTACAAAAATCAAATCATACCAATAATAATTAAAATGTAACTCTACAGACTTTAATTTTTATTGTAAAACATTTTCAAAAAGTCCACCATTATTATCAATGCAAACATTGCAACGCTTTAAAACTGCGTTTCTCGCGGACCGACCATAAATATTTTCGAATGCTCTAACAGCAGCACAAAAAAAGTAAAAAAACAAACAAACATCTAACACCAAAAAACAGTCGCCATGTTTTTCTTGTTCTTGGCTGTTTTTATCCGACTCGATTTGACCAAAACTATGTTCGTCTACGTGTGCGAGAACCCGAAGGAACACTCTTGTAGCGAAACTACGGTATAACTTTGAAACTTGATTTTTACAGTAACTTTTGAACTGGAATAGATGAACAGAATTTATCTTAAATTTATTTAATGTATGGAGTATGTATGGCTTGTCAAGAGCGAGAGCAAGAACAACGTTCTCTGAGTAGGAATGATTCGAGACGAAGGACATAAGAAAAATATTGGTTATTAGCTGGTGTAGCTATAGCTAAAGCTAAATTGTCAAAAATTGACACTATTTGTCTCAGATTAGACATTTGGAGAGAAACAATGAACGAGCGAGGTTTCTTAGGTGTGACATGGCATTTTCTTCAAAATAGTAAAATGCATATGCTCTATCTAGCTACTCATGCGCTCAATGAAAATGTGCCCTGTTTGGCTCACACAAAAAATCACATTGTTGGACAGGATTTAAAATTACCAAGTGTGAAAACAGCTATATCTAAGGTTCGTAAATTTGTGCATTGAAAAAAAATGGTGTGATTCAGTCAGATAAATTGAAGAAAATTCAGATGCGTATTAATGGTTCTGAACAGTAAATTTTAAACTTATTGCCGATGTCAAAACAAGATGGAACTGAATGATATTTTGAAAAGTGATCCATTGGGAGACATGCAAACGGTATTTTCTAACTTTTATAAGCGAATGCCTATTTTCTAACGCTGATGCTACTATGACGCACAATAGAAATAGCTTGTCCCCTAAATATTTGAACAACTGCTTTTGTTGGGAAACGTACAGAAATATTTTTTAACTTATGGCAATAAATGAAGTAAAATATACAGGGTGATTCAAAATTGGCGTCATTCCTTTCAAGGGGTGATAGAGGCTCACTTGTAGAGCACCAGAAAAATATTGAAATTTTTTTTTTTTTTTTATTTCTAGAAGATATTATCAGTTGAAGATAGAATTTCAACTTTGTTATTAAGCATTATTTTGAAATTATTCCATGCTTAATTGGTAGCATATTGGAATACTTAAGCATTCAAAAAGAAAAATTACGATCTTTGCTTCAAATTACGAAAATTGTCGATATTGAAAAAGTTCTCTTCTACAATTTTTTGATGGAAAGTCAAAGCGGCAATGATGTTTTTTGCCATTAACAGATAGTTACAGGTGGATAGCCCTTGTCAATAATAACAATAATTTGACAAACTGTGACTTACTTTGACTCAGACACAGAGGAACAAGTATTGGACATCATCGAATCAAGGCCTTCCAGGGGTACTCAGAGCACAATAACTAACACTTTCGATACCCACAGCACAAGGAGATACAAATGGAGCACGAGTTAATTAACTGAATACGAGAAGCTGCTTAATAAGAGTGGATAATAAGGAGATTAAACAGGCACTGGCTTGTTTGGATTTAACCATTCAAATGTTGTTGTATGGTTTATTTTTAAACACCAATTCGAGGTTATGATAACAGGTTGACATTTCGAAAGTACGTTCCGCAGTCAACAAATCTTGTTGAATTTTCCATTTATCCCTTTCTATCTTATTGTCACTCTTTATAATTCCATGGTTATCGTAGTTTTAAATAATTACGAAGCAACAGGTATTTGCGCAGTGTTAATTAGGCAGATTACCTTGAAAAACATTGCTGCCGTATTTCTGATATAGTATTTTTGTAAATTTCTCAGTTTTTATTAACAATTAATTTCTTTAACTATGTTTTCTGTACTCCTATAACAGCGCCAGACAACACCTCCAGAGGAATGACGCCAATTTTGAATCACCCTATATTCCATGAATTTTTTAACAATATCTTCTTTAAACGGCATTTTTACAGTTAAAATTTACTTTGTGATAGTGAATTGCGGTCTTGAAAAACTCATGGAAAATGTATACTAAAAATGTATTTATGCAGAAAGCAGGTAATGGTTTCGATACTTTCAGAATACTGATATGAAGAGTATAGCAAGACGATTTGGTTACGACTCATTTGAGTACGTGTCGAAACATTCTCAGTATCGTATCATCCCTATCTCTGAGTGGTTTTTCCAACTTCCCACGCTTCGACATTGATAGGGATGACAAGCGTTGATACCAGCTTTACAAACCATTTATTAAAAGAACGCAACCGACGCCTGTCATAGTCTCTCTTCACGGCTTAAAAACACCATTGGCAAACCTAGTAGCAAATTTACGAACCACTCGTCATCACGAAACTCAGCGTTCTCTGTTCGCTGTGTGTTGCTCCGTGCTGTGTCGCTGTTTCAATACGTCAAGCCTTATCGGTGTCGCTGTGTGAACACCTGAAAATACTGTGTGACCCAGACCTATTCTCAAGGCTACAATGAAAGATGGAACAGAAAGAACAATGAAATATCAGAGCTTTATGCAGTCAGTTGTGCAGTCAACCAACTACCTATTTGTCGATATAACTGAAATGTTTCAAAGTATGCTTATAACAGTTATAACTATTGCGCACTTGACGTCGCATGGACGGCCAATCACAGTAATGCTGAGATAGATAGATAGATAAAATTTATTTCAATATTCATAATTTGTTGACAAGCATGGGCAAATTGAACAATAGGACCCCGTCCTGCCAGGTGTTCGGCATTGGTGCTCCTTTGCTCATGGTCCAAATGGTCGCGCATTGATTCATTACCTGGGCATAGCCCTAACATGGATATTCGCGGAATTAATCGTTCGTATGACAACGTGAGGTGATGATCTTAAAGTGGCGGTTTTGTTTTATTGGAAGGGCGTTCATTAAGGAAAAAAGGTCTTCCTGACGGGAATCCAAAAACCACTTTTGCTTCGAGCTTTAATTTTGATACTGTAAGCCGTGGCGTTAACGCCGCCCCTCTGTTTCAAGAGCGGGGACGTGCTCGTGGCCTTTTCGGAGACTTATCGACAGTTTCCACAAAGAGTTGTCACGGGGGGTTTCATTGCGTAGCTTTTCCGCCCAGGTAAAATTCCTGTATGCGGAAATTTCACTTTCAGAAGTACACTACGTTTGCCGTCTGAATCATCTAAATTTTAACCGGCCTTGAGTTTTTTCATTGGTGTAATTCGGGGGTGGCAGCTACCACACCAGAACTGTCAAGACCAATCATTTGGGATGCCCAGAATTTTGAAGTAAAATTATCAATAATTAACAAATACCTAACAAATAACTGAAG